TTGAATTGGTTTAGCAGTCTTGTGTAGTCACAATTGGCATTAAGCCTGATTCACTTTACAGCTTATTCTGACCAAGAAGCACCGAGTTCATCTGACATCAGGGTGACAAGCCAAATTTGTTAGTTAAAATTAAAAATTAAAAGTGATGAAACAAAGACAGTGTACTTCAAAATAATAGTGGGCTGCATGCAAATACAAACATTCAGCCAGTTTAGTACGATTCATAGATAAGGGATTATTGGGAATCAGCACCTTATAATAGGGCTGGGCAATATTACGGCATATATCGTTACCGCGACATAAAGTGTCTACGGTTAGGGATTTTGCTATTTTGTGTATTTCGCGGTATGCAAATATATCTACATATCATACACCTTTTGAGTGATAAGGAAACATGCATGAATGAGAAAATAAAGAGTGGGATGCACTTGGTAGAGTTAAGTGCAATAAGCAGTGAAAAAGAACTCAATGCGGTGCTCGCGCTGACTGACTCTCAGCCAAAGAGCGTGCACTGAAAGCCCCTCTCAGACAGCATGTGATCCCGATCGTGAAAACAGATTTGTGCTTTATTGTGCTTGAGTGGTCAAATACGCACACAGTTATGTCATAATACCTGTTGTGTGGAGTATTCAAGTAAACACAGTCTGTTATTTGTTAAATAAATGTAAAACAGTTGGGTGAAAACCGGATGTGTTTCAGTATATTGGATCCGTGCAGTCGGTCTTAAAGGGACAACAGCCTTATTTACCTGCTGCTGTCTGTCATTATTAATGTTAATCATGTTTGATTGATACAGTGAAGATTATGCAGTGTTTTATTTATACACTTTATTCAATTTCTGTAATATTTCTTACTGCATGTTAAATAATCCTATCCTACTGTAGCTGAATAAATTAAAAGTTTTTCATATTTATTTGTTCTGTTGTGCTTGTAATTTGCTTCTTTTCCTTAATTTTAATTAAAAAATTAAATAAAAATAGCTATATTGAGGTACATATTATTATCGTGAAATAAAATTTCTCATACCATGACATAAGATTTTGGTTATATCGCCCACCTCAACTACCTTATAATGGAATCAAAAGTATACAATGCATCCAGTTTAGTTTGATTCATGAACAAATAACTCTTTAGGAGCTGGTTGATTAAAGTGAATCAAAAATGTGTGGCACAACCAGTGTAATCCAATTCATGAACAAATGACATGCTTTCAGTGATGTCCTTCTTAAAATGAAGCAAGTTCCTATACTTAAAGTTAGCATATTTTGCATATCTGTATTATATGTAAATGAAGATGACTCAAAATGCAATTTTTTTTTGTCATCTTTTGACAGATTCAGGGCTTTTTTTTTTTAACTACAGATTGAACTTCCGCATTTTGGTATTTCCGCCCTAAATTTGGCCATCCAAAAGAACAGATAGAGAATTACAGGCCAAATGTTTTAGCAAGTTTTCTAATTCTCTAATTCTGTTCCCATTTGTATGACTGTGCTTGATCATGACCTGCCCCATAGAGTAATATTCAGGTGTGCAGAACTTTAGCGACATGACGAGGCTGTGGAATGATTGTGGTCTCTAAACATCATTGCAATGCTTTTAACTGCAGTGGTCTGATGAACGATATCGGGAAATACTACAGTATTAAAGAGGAACAATGTTCAGCTTACTCAAAACAACTTCCTTTTTGCCTCACAGCAATTAAGAGAGGTTGTTTAATCCCCAAAATTGGATTTATGTATTATGATCATTTGCATTATATTTGAAGCAAGTGAACCTAGAGTGAAATGTGCTAGACAATGCCATCAGCAGCAGTATTTGTTCAATTTTCACACGCAAATAAAATCACGATATTGAACTGTCATGTTTTGTTGTTCACAACCTCTTACCCACTTCCTTTTCGATGAAAGATACTGACCTTTATGGTTTCATGCTGTGTTAAACTTAAAAAAATAGTGCATTGTTTTGGAAATTTAAGGGACAGTAGATTGTTCAGTTTGGTTGCGTCCTGCATGGATTAGCTGTTCATTTATGAATATTCATAATATGGGTTTAATAATGAAGCTGCCAGAAGTGGGTGTAGCATGCCTTAGGAAATAATAGCAGCTGCAGTTACATCACCAGCTCATACTGTACATTCCTACACACTAAGGGCATAGCAATTCTTTGATGGCAGTTCTGAGTTACATCACTTTTATTTTTGCAGATCTCCGTTCACTGTCAAAGATCAGATTGTTGAGATCTATATGCATTTCTGTTTGGGTTTGTTATGTTCTGTTAGAGCTGCATTATGGCAAATTATAATTATTGATTAAAAAAAGGTACAAAAGCTGTCACTGGGGCAGGGAAATTATTTACCTCTAAAAAGTTAACTGCATATTAGTACATTAAAGGTACATGTTATTAGGGCTGGGCAAAAAAATCTAATGCGATTTTCATGCAAATCTCGTAGGTAAAGCCGCTTCTGGTGATTAGTAGTAAATCTCCAGCACGTGCTTTCAGATGGAGCAGCATTTACTACACAGAACCGTAGATCACTGACAAGCTACACAAAATCTCATTGAAAATCGCAGGCGATTCATTGCTGATTTTGAATGCGATTTTGTGTAGCTTGTCCGTGAACTACGGCTCTGTGTAGTAAATGCCGCTCCATCTTATAGCACGTGCTGGAGATTTACTACTAATCACAGGAGCGACTTTACTGACGAGATGCGCATGAAAATCGCATTCGATTTTTTTGCACAGCCCTACATGTTATTACCTGAAGTGTGTTATTACCTGAAGTGTCCTCTGGCCTGCATCATGTTTCCTCTTTTGATGTTCTTTAATTGTCTGTCAGCCACTGCTGTGTATTTGTGGCCATTACCAGTTTCAGCAACAAGCAATTTGTCTTTCCATGCTAAATGTGAAACTGCTGCAAAACATGACACACACAGCCCATCAGAGGATGTTTGTTTAATGAACAGGTTCTGGACCAGTGAGATTTCACAAAAATCACAGTATTTTCAATGTAATATTAGTTGGGAATTTCTAGCAGTTTAATCACTGTCAGCATAAATGCCTCTATACAGGGAAGAGGTGTTTTTTTTTTTGCATTGTGCCAGATTAGGACATGGTATGAGGTTTTACCCCACAAGGGTAAGAGAGGAAGGAGGAGGGCACTTTCATTCTGACAGTCAACACTGAGGTGTGAAAAAGTTGCCCAGTTGCATCGAGAAGGGAGAGTTTTTCAGTTGTTTTGAGGTTTTATGTTTTCCTGTCAACTAGGAAACCTCTTACTTGCTTAGTTGCTTTTGCTCTGTTGCCATGGTTTCCAAACATTTACTTAATTCGTATTGATGCTTGCCATATTGAAATCAAAACTGTTGAGTGGCAGCTGTGTTTTGTACAGAGCATCTTGGAGGAGATTTCTGAAGACTAATCTTACTTATTGATATGAATATTATTATAAAATGGTGCAACAGTAATGAGTAGCTGTGCCTAAAGTTTGATTGGGGGAATATGAAACTAGTATACACTGGTAGTATTAAAGTTTGGTGTCGCTACAATTTTTATATGTTTTTGAAAAGTCTATTTTGCTCACCAAGGTTGCATTTATTTGTGAATTATTATTACAATTTAAAGGGATACTCCACCCCAAAATGAAAATTTTGTCATTAATCACTTGCCCCCATATCGTTCCAAACCCGTAAAAGCTTCGCTCGTCTTCAGAACACAATTTAAGATATTTTGGATGAAAACTGGGAGGCTTGTTACTGTCCCATTGCCTGCCAAGTAAATTACACCGTCAAGGCCCAGAAAAGTATTAAAGACATCATCAGAATAGTCCATCTGCCATCAGTGGTTCAAACGTAACGTTATGAAGCGACGAGAATACTTTTGAATTCTTTTTTTTTCAGATCCTCTGAGAGTTCTTTGCCATGAGGTGCCATGTTGAACGTCCAGTGACCAGTATGAGAGAGTGAGAGCTATAACACCAAATTTAACACACCTGCTCCCCATTCACACCTGAGACCTTGTAACACTAATGAGTCACATGACACCGGGGAGAGAAAATGGCTAATTGGGCCCAATTTGGACATTTTCACTTAGGGGTGTACTCACTTTTGTGGCCAGCGGTTTAGACATTAATGGCTGTGTGTTGAGTTATTTTGAGGGGACAGCAAATTTACAAGCTGTACACTCACTCCTTTACATTGAAGCAAAGTGTCATTTCTTCAGTGTTGTCACATGAAAAGATATAATAAAATATTTACAAAAATGTGAGGGGTGTACTCACTTCTGTGAGATACTATATATGTATTCTATTATATTAGCCTATATATTTTAAATGTAATTTATTGCTGTATTTGCAACACTGAATTTTCAGCAGCCATTTCTCCAGTCTTCAGTGACCATCATTCTTCATTCTAATACGCTGATTTGATGCTCCAAAGACATGTACTATTATCAATGTAGAAAACCGTTGTGCTGATTAATATTTCTGTGGAAACCATGAGACATTATTTTCAGGAATTTTTAAAGAATAGAAAGTAGCAATTATTTTTATAAAAGTCTTTACTGTCACTTTTGATCCATTTAATGCATGCCCGCTGAATAATTATTTTCTTAACTAAAGAAATGTAATGTAATGTAAAAAAAAGAAAAAGTATGCAATAATAAGTGCTTCAAACAGTAGCACCACTGAATGGTTTTCAGTTGTCATATAAAAAAAAAAGGTTATTTTGCTGCTTTGACTCACCTTTAAAATATTAAACATCTTTGACCGTATGATCCACTATTAAGTCAAGCAAAACTTGTGAGTGGTATTGTTCTGATTCATTCATCACTTTTGAAGTGGAAGGTCAAGTGTGTTGCATTCTGAAATATACAGTATTCCTGCTAGATGCTCTGTTAAATACTGCACATTCTGACACACATGCATATTTTGTTCATAGTACTAGTAGTATGTTATCCTGAACATAGCCAGTTACCTCAAATGTGTTTTATGTGTTTTCTTCTAGAGAGATGGCGTCCACAGTGACTCTGGAAGATGCTCTGTCCAATGTGGATCTGCTGGAGGAGCTGCCGTTACCAGATCAGCAGCCCTGCATTGAGCCTCTGCCCTCCTCCCTCATTTACCAGGTAACAACTGACCTGAGAGCAACTGACCTAGATCTTCAGTGTATTTTAAAACATATAAACCCAAAATACAAGATGTACCAAAGAGTGCTTGCATAACCAGACTTTTTCTTTTTACGACCCTTAGCCCAACTTCAACACCAACTTTGAGGACCGCAATGCTTTTGTGACAGGCATCGCACGTTACATCGAGCAGGCCACCGTCCACTCCAGCATGGTAAGATCTTAACATTTCCACACAAACAGGCAATTATTCAACTCTATCTTCACTAGCTAACCTTCTTTAAATCACCAAACCTCGACTCTGTCACAGCTCCGTTAAGCTGACCTTGACTGTCCGAACCAGTCCATCAAGCCAGCCCTCTGGAAGTCCTACTAAAGGAGTCTGTCAGGGGCTTGAATGGATTTAAGAGGGCCCATTAGACTCTCTCATTGTCCACATTTACCATGCTTATTTGAGCAGCCTGGCCAAGCGGAGTGGGCCGCTCTGAATGGTTTTTGTATTGAATGTGAACTGCTGTGTGCTCTATTAGTGAGAGGTAATAGCTGTGAGGGACTGTTTGACATCATTGAGGAAATGAAGAGTGTGTGTGGAAGTAGTGTGAGGCTACACACACACACACACACACACACACACACACAGTCTCAGTGTGTCTATGAAAAAGTGAAAGTTTTTTTTTGTTACTCTAGGGGAGACTTTCTTCAAAGTTTCTTTAGAAAGTTGTTAAGATCTTAAGATTAAGTGGGTTAATCTGTTCTCTGGCAATTTATTCAACATGAAATAAAGGTTTATTGTAGAATCTGCATTTAAAGTAATAATACATTGGGCTTAAATTCTGAGGTCACTAGTGCAGAAATCTGTTTATTTGGCATTATTATTTACTTATTTAGGTATTGTTTAATAATTTTTTTAATTGAAAATGTTGAATATTAAATTAGCGTCACAATTTAACTGTATCTAAAAAATTGACAATATTATTGCTATAATCTAAAACTATGTTTTGAGGAAATGTTTTTAAACATTTTTAAATATAATCAATCAGTTGATCAATTAATACTGTATTTTATTTAGAAGAAAAATCCAGATTTTTCAGTGTGGCCTCAGACTTTTGGACCCCACTGTATGTAGAATAAGTCTGTGTGCTTTCATTTGCACCAGTGTATTATAATTTCATGGAGAACTTTTGCTGTGTGTTACAGAATGAGATGTTAGAGGAAGGACAGGAGTATGCCGTGATGCTGTATACCTGGAGGAGCTGTTCAAGAGCTATTCCTCAGGTAAATTAGTCACGCCTAAAGCCAGTCAAAAAAACTTACAGCACCACCTGTGAGTCTGTTGTTTTGACCCTCTCCATCTGTCCTTCTCTCAGGTGAAATGTAATGAACAGCCTAACAGGGTGGAGATCTATGAGAAGACAGTGGAGGTGCTTGAGCCTGAAGTCACTAAACTAATGAACTTCATGTACTTTCAGGTAAAGATTAACGCTATTTTCTAGATTTTAATACAAGATGTTGTAAGATGCACTAATGCTTCTCTCTCATTTTACTTCACTCTCAGAGGACAGCAATAGATCGCTTCTGCGGGGAAGTGCGTCGACTGTGTCACGCCGAGCGGAGGAAGGACTTTGTGTCTGAAGCCTATCTGCTCACGCTGGGGAAGTTCATCAACATGTTTGCCGTGCTGGACGAACTTAAGAACATGAAGTGCAGTGTCAAAAACGATCACTCCGCCTACAAGAGGTAACCACAGACTGCTTTCTGCGAGCCTCAGTTTTGCATCTAGCCTTGTCATTAATTCATGCATCCTGTAGATGGCAGTCATTCTACATCTGGATTCTTCTGCTCAGTCGTTATCACTGTAGAATACTCTCTTTTTTGGTGCTTCATTGGCATTAAACAGACATTTCAAACTCAGAAAATTTTTGTATTTGTCAGTAAGACATTTTTTAAAGCCAATTAATACTTTTATTCAGCAAGTATGCATTAAATTGGTCAAAACGGACAGTAAATATATTTAAAATGTTACAAAAGATTTCAATTTAATGCTGTTCTTTTAAACTTTCGGTTCATCAAAGAATCCTGAAAAAAACGATCATGGTTTCCACAAATATGCCAACATTAATAATAATAAGAAGAAATGTTTCTTGAGCACCAAATCAGCATATTAGAATGATTTCTGAAGGATCATCTGACATGTATCTGTATTCAATGCCATCACATGAATAACTTGCATTTCAAACTCTATTTGATAATTGGTGTGTATATGTTCATATACAGATACACCACATAAATATATATATTTTGCCTGTGACTGTAAAATGCTCAAGTCTGCACCATTTTCCAAGCTGAAGCAGTGTCGTGGGATATTGTTAGTGATATATTCTTGTTCATTAGCTGCATACTCATTATCTTACACTTGTTGAAATAACCATACAGGAGTCCACAGTGTCAAAATAAAGTTATGGTAAATGGAACAGAGATGCTGCACATCTATGTGTCATCAAGACACTGGAGCGGTCTAGTTTTTTTTACCCCTTTCTTTCATGGTGTTCGTGTGAGTTGGTGTATCTGCATAGATTTAAGTTTATTTTCAGTGTGCCTACTTGCTGAACACACTTTATGAAATGTCAAATTTGTCAACCACCTATCCAGTTTTCCACCTCATGACACTTGTCTCTATATTTCGGTCTTTTATTGCGTTTTTCTTTCTAGGTCTCAACATTACAGTTGTTTTTTGTTTTTCCCTGCTGGCCAGTAGATCAGACTTACTGCCAACATTTACACTGTCCCCACCACAAAAACAAAAGCAACATATTTTTTATAAGTTTCAGACAATATCTGTATTTGTCATTACATTTTTGTTTTCTTAAAAAAGAATCCCAACAAATACATATATTTGGCCTGAATTATGCGTAATTGTTTGTCATAGTGACATATAGTGCTTGAGCTGGCTTAATTGTGATATGTTCTGTGTCAGTCTTTCTCGTCTTTGCTTATATTTTTCTCTCTGTCCATCAGAGCTGCCCAGTTCCTGAGGAAAATGTCAGAGCCATCCTCCATTCAGGAATCTCAGAACTTATCCATGTTCCTGGCCAACCATAACAAGATAACTCAGGTACCACACCATAATCTGTAAACTAACACTTAATACTGAGAAAATGTATTGACTAAAGTATCCAAAGAAACAAACAGTGTTGATTTGTTTTGCAACTGTAGTGAAGACATATTTGTGTTTAATGTAGACCATCTCTTGAACAGAAATTCACTAAATTGACTTCAAGTCCCTGGACACAGCAGCATAATAAACACAAATACATGCAGCAGTGCTTTAGACATGTTCTGTGTATGAGTTGCTGATATTGACGAGCATCTGTGTTTCAGTCCCTACAGCAGCAGCTTGAGGTGATTAGCGGATATGATGAGCTGTTGGCAGACATTGTTAACCTGTGTGTGGACTACTACGAAAACAAGATGTACCTCACCCCCAATGAGAAACACATGCTACTCAAAGTAAGCATATATTTTTATGTTTTTGAACAAAATCTCTTATGCTTACCAAGGCTGCATTTATTTATTCACAAACACAGTAAAAACAGCAATATTGTGAAATATTATTAGAGTTTAAAATGTTTTTTATTTTAATGTATTTTAAAATTTAATTTAGTCCTGTGACGGCAACGCTGAATTTTCTGCAGCCATTACTCTAGTTTTAAGTGTCAGATGATCCTTCAGAAAAATCATTCTAATATGCAGATTTAGAGCTCAAATTTAGTAAAAAAAAAAATATCTATATTAAAAGTTGCTGCTTAATATTTTAGTTTGAACCATTTGACATTTTCTTCAGAATTCTTTGATGAATAGAAATTTGAAAAGAACAGCATTTATTACATTTTTTTTTATAACAATGCAAAAGTATTTACATCAAATTAATACTTTCTGAATGCAAAAAATTATTTAAAAAAAAAGACTCATCCCAAAATTTTAAACGATACATTTACAATTTAAAAAAAAGTAGAACAAAGTGCCACTGTGTTTCTAGGTAAGGATAGTATTATGTTTTTGCTAATCTTTCTTAGTCTTTTTACCATGTTAAATGTAAATCTTGATATTTATGTATCATAATCAAGCAGTCACTGTTACTAACTAGATTACTATGTAAAAATCTATATACTGTTAAGGATTTTTTCCCCACAAAGTTTTTCCCATAGTTTGGTGTGACTGTGTCTTGTAGGTGATGGGCTTTGGTCTTTATCTCATGGATGGAACCAACAGCCACATCTACAAACTGGATGCCAAGAAGAGAATCAACCTCACGAAAATTGACAAGTTTTTCAAGGTGTGTCGGTCTGTGTGCTTTTGATAATATGAAATCTCTGACCTTCAGAAATGGAAATGCTTTTGAGATGCATGTTAAAACCTGGTGTAAACCACAGTCTGTCTCTTCACTTTTGTTGGGATCGCCCAAGGCACATTTTAATTTGATTTGCCATTCTGCCCTACCCCTACAGCAATTGCAGGTAGTGCCATTGTTTGGTGACATGCAGATTGAGTTGGCCCGCTATATCAAAACCAGCGCTCACTATGAGGAAAACAAATCCAGGTGGGTGTCGTAGGATGCCATACTTAAATGTGAACACTATATGCAGATGTGTTTTAGCTTACTTTAATTAAAGAGTAGATAACCCAAAATAACCCTTCCAAACTTTATCTTTTTTAAAGGTATTTTTAATAATGTACTGGCTGCTCTTTTCCAATACACTGCAATGATTGAAAAAAAATAAAATAAAAATTGCTTTTGGTGATCAAAAGCATCATTGGAAATATGCAGTGAAAATAGCCAAATGTTGTTCTATTTACTATACCCTTCCATGTTTTTTTTTAATTGCCTGGCCTCCCCATCCTCTAGGTGGTCGTGCACGTCTGCAAGCAGTAGCCCACAGTATAATATTTGCGAGCAGATGATTCAAATCCGTGAAGACCACATGCGCTTCATTTCTGAGCTGGCTCGCTACAGCAACAGTGAGGTGAGAGGCTTTTAAAAAAGCGAACACTTTCTTTTCTTCGCTGTCTTTCTAAACAAATGCAGTGCAGACTCCCCAGTCATCATGCACTGACGCATACTGCCAATGACGTTGGGGGATGAAATGTCTATTACCTAATATGCCAAATGACTTTCTATTTCTGAGCATAAGACCTCTGTTGTTTAGCATCACATTAAAGCAGTTGTTGCTTATTTGGATTGGATTTAAATCAAAATTTTGGCTGCAGTAATGTTCTGCAGTATTGACATATATATTGACACATTGATTGATAAATATTTCAAATGGTTTTTTTTTTAGTGTCTCTTATGCTGAGACTGTAAAATACCTGTTTTTATTTGAATATAATTTATTCTTGCAATGGCAAAGCTACATGTTCAGCAGCCATTACTCCAGTCGTCAGTAAGTCACATGATCTTCAGAGATCTTTATGATATGCTAATTTTGTGCTCAAGTAACATTTCTTGTTATTAAAAAATGTTAATATTTTTGTGGAATTCGTGATCGACTTTTTCCAGGATTCTTTGATAAATAGAAAGTTCAAAATAACAGCATTTATTTAAAATATAATTTATTTGTAGCAATGTAAAAATCTTTACCATCACTTTTGATCAGTTTTGTGCATCCTTGCTGGAAAAAAAGTGTTCATACGGTATATTCTACTAGTGCTCTAGTGGTAACTATGGTAAAAATAGCTAATTAAACTGAATAAGCCTCAGCATAGTGGATGCTGAAAAATCTCTTTTAGAAGTGCATTAATGTTTGGAATCATACAGCTTAATGAGAATCAGAAGCTACAGTGGATTACGTTGCACTTGTTGAGTTTGTTTTTGCTCATGTGAGTAGATTTTTAACAATATTCATTAGCTATGGGAGGGCGAGCAGCTCGCGCTTCATACATGATTCCCTTTTCCTTGGCTGAATGGGTTCAAGGCTCAATCTCGGCAACTTGAAATTTGCATTCAGAACCACAGGGGCTGTATTCTTACAGAAGAATATGGAAATGTGAGGGGAGGAGGCCAGCCTGGGATTGAATTAAGACATGGCAGCAGCACTGTAATGAGAACGTAATGGCAGCCAGAGGACAACTGGTCCGCTATCAGTGACAGCAGCCCGGTGATGAGGAGAAACAGCAAGGAATTTGTTCGTTCCACAGCCCTGGTTGTCAGATGTCAGGGGTTTTAACACGCAGTGCTTGTCTTGTGCTGTCTTGGACTGCTGAAACAAATGCACAGATATATGGGTTTTGGCATTTCCTCTCATGTTTGTTCATTTCGATTGCAGCCCCTGCTTCTGTAGATGCGGCAGGGATCCTGGAGTTTTGTTTGTCATTAGGTTGTGTGAAGAGATTTCAGTGGTTCATTAATTTGCTCATTTTCTCTCTAATGATAGTAGTCGTGTTAGACGTTATGTTATCTTGTTTACTTGCCTCCTTTTCTCATTTTTGCAGGTAGTGACGGGCTCAGGGCGTCAGGAGGGTCAGAAGACAGACTCTGAATACAGGAAGCTGTTTGAGCTGGCTCTGCAGGGTCTGCAGCTGCTCTCTCAGTGGAGCGCTCAGGTCATGGAAGTGGTGAGTAGACTTGTCACTCATATTTATGTATGAGACCCCCAACCAGGGAAAGGTGAACTCCAACTTTTAAGTCGTGATGATTTGATGAGTCGTGGGTGACACATGGCTGGATCCCTGGTTTCATGCTGTTCTTTTGTATATTTGCCTGATAAAAGACAAAGCTCCCAAAATCACTCAAAAGCAGTCAAATTATTCTTAAAAACTGTCCTGAAACGGAATCTCCATTAATGTTTTGTGCAAAATGAATTAAATTCAGGAATTTAGGAGCCATGGATACCTGTGCTTGCAATTGAGATGTGCGAAGCTACATACAATCAGGTCCAAAAGTTTGAGACAACATTTAAAGTCTGGGGTTCAAAACCTGGAAAAGTGTTTGTTTGTTATTTTTATTATTATTATTTATTTATTAATTTCATAAAGATTGTATTGCCATGTACGTTATGGTGTATAATAAAATATTAAAGGGGTGGTTCAGGTTTTTTTTTTTCTAGGCTTGATTGTGTTTATGGGGTGCAGTCTAACATGTTAATGCTTCGTTTTTTTTAAAAAATGCATAATTTTTCACATAATTTACCTTTATTCCACACCGCTCTGTCCCTTCTCTGAGAAACACGCTGATCATTTCCTGCTTTTATGAAGCCCCTCCCTCAGAAATAGGCGATGGGCTCTGATTGGTTAGCTAGCCCAGTGTGTTGTGATTGGCTAAACCGCCTTTAGTGCGCGTCTAATCCCGCCGCTCACCTCAGCTGCATGTGCTCCGGTTGTATTGTAAACAACAGCATCGTTAATATCGCTTATCAGTTTGAACCCGATTGAGAAGCAGAGGATATTATTGAAGAGGATCGTGCAGAACATGTGCAAGCACGGCTTTTATTGGTAGGCCTATGTTTTTGCTTGTTGTTGTCTCATACTTTTAGATACGCTGTTATTTGTAAATGCTACTGCTTATGTTAGCTTTTAATATACAGTTTTATCCTGATTAAAGCTTTAATACAGTACGGCAACTGCACACGTTATTTTTATTATTATTATTTATTTATTAATTTCATAAAGATTGTATTGCCATGTACGTTATGGTGTATAATAAAATATTAAAGGGGTGGTTCAGGTTTTTTTTTTTCTAGGCTTGATTGTGTTTATGGGGTGCAGTCTAACATGTTAATGCTTCGTTTTTTTTAAAAAATGCATAATTTTTCACATAATTTACCTTTATTCCACACCGCTCTGTCCCTTCTCTGAGAAACACGCTGATCATTTCCTGCTTTTATGAAGCCCCTCCCTCAGAAATAGGCGATGGGCTCTGATTGGTTAGCTAGCCCAGTGTGTTGTGATTGGCTAAACCGCCTTTAGTGCGCGTCTAATCCCGCCGCTCACCTCAGCTGCATGTGCTCCGGTTGTATTGTAAACAACAGCATCGTTAATATCGCTTATCAGTTTGAACCCGATTGAGAAGCAGAGGATATTATTGAAGAGGATCGTGCAGAACATGTGCAAGCACGGCTTTTATTGGTAGGCCTATGTTTTTGCTTGTTGTTGTCTCATACTTTTAGATACGCTGTTATTTGTAAATGCTACTGCTTATGTTAGCTTTTAATACACGGTTTTATCCTGATTAAAGCTTTAATACAGTACAGCAACCGCATGCGCTTCCATGTTTAACCCTTCTCATAACTATGTGAAAATAAGTGTATAATTGTAACAGTTCATTGTTGGAGGTGAGCTGAATGAGAGAGAGAGAGAGAGAGAGAGAGAGAGATGCAGAGCGATGCAGAGCGTGTGCATAGCAGGGGAAAGCGAGGAACAGTATTAAGAACCGCTGCTTTAGAACATTGATTTTGAAACCTGTGAATCTATTAGAATGGTTAGAAGACAGAATCGCAATTCATATGTGAATAGATTTTTACGTCCACCTCTAGTTTTCTCTTCCTCTTCTCTAAAGCAGCGCAGCATGGCCTCGCCCCCTTTGCTGCCTTTTCCCAAGGGGGGGTTTATCTGGGTTTGTGACATCACGAACCCGGGAAGTAACTTGTTGTAGTCCCTACCAGCCATTTTTGTAGACATTAAACTGCCAGAATTTTAAAAGACATCTCTTTTAAAAGATATCTCCGTTTGCATTGATCTTCCAGCTTCATAACTTTGCAGATGTTGTTTATGCTCAAACAGCAACATTACACACTAACTAATGTTAAAAAAGTGAAATCGCAATTAACCACCCCTTTAAACATTATATAAAATGTTGAAATATTTAAAAGTTTCCATTATTTCTGTGTCAGCAATGAGCAAATTGACACTTTTTTTTTGCAAATTGTGTCCTGGTTTCTTTCCGCTCTCTCTGTCTAGTTTCCTTTAACTCTCAGCTGTCCTGTTTGTTAATATAAGAATAAATATAAAACAAAGTAATAATTCATGTGCAGGTGCATCATGCCTGTAATAAGCTACATAATATTTCCAGTCTTACTGTGTCTTTTTCTTTAAGTATAATATCTTTACAAAAGATTTAAGAGTAAGGAAGGAAAATAAACCATATTACACACACTTGAGATGCTTGTTGGTCAAATCTAAAATGTTTTTTTATGTTCTGCATGAAGTATACAGTCCTCCAAAAGAAGATTAATGAACATGCTATGTCCTTTGTAACAGCCTATCAGCAATAACAAATACCAGCCTGTGTAAAGCTCTTTTAATGAGTGTTGTCTGAGAGAAGTGTCCAGTCTCTGAGAGCTGTTGAATTGAGTTACTCAAAACGCCAAGATGAATTTTCTCAGATTTTGCTCAAGTCCTTGCACAAGGACAGTCATTCACATCATGTACTTCATCAGGAGGAAAGCCAACTTACTAAAGACTATCTAACCTTTAATTTCCAGTATCACTAGCTCACCGTTCAAGACAGCGCTTGAACCTCGTTCATTGAATAGACGGGGTCACTCCCCTGGTGTGCATTCTTTTTTGGGTCCACAAGGCCAGCCATGTTTTCACCTTTCAATCGAATCTCTTTCAGTTCCAGCTATACTTTTTTTTTTCTTCCTCTGAGCAAAACATTTGATGTTGTTGATCTTGTGAAATATTGTTGCCATGGAAACAGCCTGAAGCAAGTCCATTCTTGTTAATTAGTAAAATGGGTTTTGGTATTTGTAGCAAATTAGGCTAGGGATGGAGATGATGGACCATAGTTTCTGAAATTTGTGAAGCAGCTTTGAAGATAATATTTGATTTTCTTGCATCTCTTGCAGAATAATCATCATAAGCAATTATACATGAAAGATTATAAAAGGTTTTTCTTTTTGCAGTATTCTTGGAAGTTGGTGCACCCTACAGATAAATACTCCAACAAAGAATGCCCAGACAATGCTGAGGAGTATGAACGTGCCACTAGATACAACTACACCAGCGAAGAGAAATTTGCTCTGGTGGAGGTCAGTTCACCTGCAGGTCCAAAGCTCAGCTGTGTTGCATTGTAATTATAAGCAAAAAATATATACACAAACATTTTAAAAGCCATTGCACCTCTATGACCTCTACTGTAAATTAAATATACTGCTATACGGTGGATTTATTGGATGATGATGAATTTATTCAGGTTTTTCTTAAATTACTTAATTATACATTTAAATAAATTTTAATTATTATATATTTTAATTAATTTTAATTTGTATAATTTATTTATTATTGTATTTTTATTTTATTTTTATTATTTATTTAGAATGACTAAAATTTTGTATTAAACTCTGCGTTGACCTATGTTTGGAATCAGCCTAACAATTCCTTCTCTGAATGAACTCATTGAATCATTTCAATGACTGAATTAACATTAGTGATTTTTGATTAGAAATCAAGAACTTTTGTGGGCTTAATGTTCATAAAATGTAATTCAGTGTTAAGTGACTGATATTGTTTAGTATATGTGACCCTGGACCACAAAACCAGTCATAAGAGTCAATTTTACAAAATCGAGATTTATACATCATCTGAAAGCTGAATAAATAAACTTTTCATTGATGTATGGTTTGTTAGGATAGGACAATATTTGGCCAAGATACAACTTTTTTTTAAATCTGGAATCTGAGGGTGCAAAAAAATCTAAATATTGAGAAAATCGCCTTTAAAGTTGTCCAAATGGAGTCCTTAGCAATGCATATTACTAATCAAAAATTAAGTTTTGATATATTTACAGTAGGAAATTTACAAAATATCTTCATGGAACATGATCTTTACTTAATGTCCTAATGATTTTTGGCATAAAAGAAAAATCAATCATTTTGGCCCATACAATGTATTTTTGGCTATTGCTACAAATATACCCCAGCGACTTAAGACTGGTTTTGTGGTCCAGGGTCACATATCTGAAGTGTTTGTGTCCGTGTTCCAGTTCTCTGTCTGAATGTGCTTCTGTCTACTTGTGTTTAGGTCATCGCCATGATAAAGGGCCTGCAGGTGCTGATGGGCCGTATGGAGAGCGTGTTCAATCACGCCATCCGTCACACCATCTACGCAGCTCTGCAAGACTTTGCCCAGGTAACGCTCAGAGAACCGCTGCGTCAGGCCATCAAGAGGAAGAAGAACGTCATCCAGAGGTACAACAGAGCACCAAACCGGATGATATTTCTGTCTTCCAGCTCTAGTTGTTTTAAGTCTGTTTTGGCTGACTTTGACTTTGTTGCAGCGTCCTCCAGGCCATCCGTAAGACCATCTGTGATTGGGAGACTGGCAGAGAGCCACATAATGACCCAGCACTGCGGGGTGAGAAGGACCCTAAAGGGGGATTTGATATCAAAGTTCCTCGTCGTGCCGTAGGACCCTCCAGTACTCAAGTATGTGGCTCTTTAGTTCCCAATTTCTATACGATAAAGGATAGAAACATTCTACACAAATTTAGACAATGTAGCACTTACAGAGCATGTATGACAGTAACACACTTCAGAACTCAGTTACCTTCAAGAGTCTAGTTATGATTTGCATTCTGAATGCAATGGCATGTGAATTTTTTCATTTTTCATTTCCACCTTATACAACTCCTAACCTGAAACAACCTAACCAGCCATAATGCTATATGCTTTTTCTACCTTTTCCACGCACACACACACACGACTAAGCCCAGTGTCATTCAGAAGAGCTTGTAATCTTCCACTCGCTTCTGCCGCAGATGTTGCATGAAGCACGGTTGATCCGGTGTGGCATGGAAGGGTGTCGTATTGAATGTCAATAGCGCCTCGGGGATTTGAGCTGTAATCGGTTCTGCCTCACAACGTGATCTCAGTGCTTTGCTACTGGAATTTTTGAGAGAGATTCATACACGTGTCCTGATTCAACAGTCAGTTTAATTTGATGAAGTACGTGTTGAGGATTGTTCACATGCCACATTATTTTTAATCTTTTTGTTAATTTTGGACTCATCAATGTTTTTGTGTTAGTGTGGATTGATTTCAAGCTTTTCTGTCATTGGCTTGAGCTCTGTATGATTATGGTTGAATTTCACCACAAGAGGTTTCTGTCAAGAGGCTCACAGCTCTGAACTAGGGTTGCATTGAGACCTGAAATTTTGGCTTTGTGTACAATACCAGTTTCTGGTGCCTTAGAATTAGACTAATACCTCAGTGGGTAGTTTACTGTCATAGACCTCCTTGATCATACAGACAGAATTTGATCCATTCATGTCTCATGTTGAAGGGTTTTTCAAACAGGAACAAAAAGGAGTAAATATTTTTTATTTTAATAATTTTTTTTTTTGGTAGTTCATAAGTATTATGATTTTAATGAAATATGTTTAGTGTAAAAAAATCCCTGTCATAATTTGTTCAAGACAATTTGACCCAAACAATAACTGTGAACATAGCCTCTCAGTATTTAAATACAGTGCTACACAGAAACACATCCACTTCTCCAGGGAAGCTTTGATGCCTGTGTGCCCTCCATCAGCACGTTAATGCACTCAGACCAGAATGCAAAAGAGGTCCACCTGTGGCAAGATGACCGGAGCAGAATGCAGCTGTGAATGTCTGTCAAGGAGTGGCTAAACATGCATGTGCGAAGAGTAAAGGACTTACTCTTTCTGTTCCTCTGTGTAGCTGTATATGGTCAGGACAATGCTGGAGTCTCTGGTCGCTGATAAGAGCGGCTCAAAGAAGACCCTGCGCAGTAGCTTGGAGGGTCCGACCATCCTGGACATCGAGAAGTTCCATCGCGAATCATTCTTCTACACTCACCTGCTCAATTTCAGTGGTAAGGAACAGTCTAAATTGCCGTTCACTCCAATATAGACATTTTTTTTTAGAGCATTCAAACCTTTAAACTACAGTAAAAACCAATGTGCGATTACCGTGTTTTTATTGTCCAACTATACAGCTATACTTTTTTTTTTTTAACCAAACTTTTTCATACCATTATGCATTAGTTCCAATTATTGACCTTTTCTGTGTCCACAAAGGCCTAAAAAGGTATATAGACACTTAAGCTACATTTATAAATGTGTGAATGTCATTGCTTTAGCAAAAGGCTTTTATTTTAAAGATAGATAGCACAAATACGCTGTCAAGCCTGTAGTAAGCAGCAGAAGTATTTTACAATTTTTGTAAAATAAAGTTTGTTAGTTTGTATATTATAAAGCAATAGATTATATAAGATTGTGACCGTATTTTCTTGTCTGTTGTTGTATATCCAAGTGAAACAGGATCTCAAATTAGAAAAAATATAGGATGGCACTTGATTTTGTCCATCAGGAATTGATTAAATCTATAGGCTAATTATAGGTTTGTAAACATTCGGGATGCGCGCGCATCATGGTTGCAGAAAACCTGGGAGAGATAGCCTTTACGGCTAGAGAAGAATAAAAAAAAAGGTAAATTTAATTTTATATTTCAAAAATCTGACTTTATTCTCGCAATTCCGAGACTATATCTCACAATACTGATAAGGAAAAACAACTCGTCATTCTCTCTTTTCCCCTCGGCTCAGAATATATATCCCACACTTCTAGCTTTTTTCCCTTCAGAATTGATAAACTCACTATTTGAGTTAAATTGAGTTATAAAGTCAGAATTAGGAGATATAAACTTGCATTTGCTAGAAAGTCATAATTGTGAGATAAAATAAATACATGTTATGTAAAATGTTAATAGTAATAAGTTTAAATAATATTTCATGCTGTAACTGTAGGGCTAAGTTAATACAATACATCCCCTATGAACTGCATATGTGAATATTATGTAGACTTATTGTTTAAATCAAATCTATGCTTTAAAAGTAGAGTAATCATAGTAGTTTTCATCCATAGTCTGTCCGTTTAAACATCTGCGTTTAGCTTCAAATGGCGTCTTTGATGACAGTATTCTATAAAAATTATTTGCATTCCGATTCTGACATCCAAAGGCACAACAATACATTTTTTTCTCTTATTCCATGGATTTGACCCGTTTCCTTCCAATTGTTCCCAGTGTTTTTCTGCCACCACTATGCGCACGCAGCATAACTGTGACGTCTACTCCAAATTGGTCTATAGGGAATTTATGATCATGGACACGTTTTTTTTCCCCCATCAATTATTTGTAATTAACATGGCAGTGTTCCATTAAAAAATGGCCATTGTATTTGGTTGAATGCGGATGGTGTTAAGAATGTTTTGTGTCTTACAAATGCGTGATGTGTTGCAGAGACGCTGCAGCAGTGCTGTGATTTGTCCCAGCTCTGGTTCCGTGAGTTCTTTCTGGAGCTCACAATGGGTCGCCGCATTCAGTTCCCAATTGAGATGTCCGTGCCCTGGATTCTTACCGACCACATCCTGGAGGCTAAAGAGGCCTCTATGATGGAGTGAGAACCAAAAATTCAATTAATACATGAATTGCTGTACTATACATGTGCAAAAAAGAATGCTTTTATGAAATATGCTTCTAAGTATGTCTGATCTCGACAGGTATGTGTTATATTCATTGGATCTGTACAATGACAGCGCACACTACGCTCTCACAAAGTTTAAAAAGCAGTTCCTTTATGATGAGATTGAAGCTGAGGTAAAAGCCCTCTTGAAAATCCTTTGAAGCAGTTATTGCATTGCTAATTTAATTTCTTCTACTCAAGTTTCAATGTTCTTTTAAGTGATTGTGCGTCTGGATTTTTTTCTCTTTCTCCCAGGTGAACCTCTGCTTTGATCAGTTTGTCTACAAACTTGCTGATCAAATTTTTGCCTACTACAAGATTCTTGCTGGAAGGTAAGTCTGTCTGTTTAAATGCCTTATTTGGACAGAATTTGTTTTCAGGGTAAATATGTAACTTTTCTGTAGTAATGGAAGTTAATTTGGGGACCTAAAAAAGTGTTTTATTTTCTCTCTGTAGCCTCCTTCTAGATAAGAGACTAAGAGCTGAATGTAAGAATCAGGGTGCCAACATCTCATGGCCTTCCTCCAATCGTTACGAGACACTTCTCAAACAGAGACATGTCCAGGTAAGGACAGCCACTGTTCTGTTTACACAGTCATTACTGTTTATTAATGCTGTTTTCAAGTCCGCTCATCTTGTTTTGTCCTTTTCTCTTGCAGCTCCTTGGACGATCGATTGACTTGAACCGTCTGATCACCCAGCGAGTGTCTTCGGCACTGTACAAATCCCTAGAGCTCGCCATCAACCGCTTTGAGAGCGAGGACCTCACTTCCATCATGGTGCCTTATACTTTCAAATCTCTGTTTTTATGGAAATTTGCAGTTTTAAATTTCTTATAGAGACCCTGAATTTGCTCAGTTTGTTTTAGCTGTGAATTTGTTGGATATTTGCTCGTTCGGGATTTTTAATGAAAGAGAGGCCACCTCTCTAGCAGAATTGAAATTCAGTGCACTGGGAATAATTTAGCATAGGCTGCCAGAGAGTGAATCATTTTCAATGTTTGCTTCCTATATGTGTGTTTGTGTGCTAATATATCGACATTTGATTAGACGTCTGACTGTGACACATGCATTGCCAATGCATGAAATTGTTCCAAAACTCATCGGTTTTCATACAAACTGTTGTTGGAGGTCTATGTGTGCTACTAAATAGAAATGTGTTGTTGGTCAATGTTATTGTTGTGTCAGAAAGTGAGAGGGTATTTGTTTGTTCCAATTGATCATCTTTTGTCTGTCTTTGATCAGGAGTTGGAGGGTTTGTTGGATATTAACCGGATGACCCATAAGCTCCTTGGTAAGTATTTGACACTGGATAGTATCGACACCATGTTCCGTGAGGCAAACCACAACGTATCCGCACCCTATGGCAGAATCACTCTCCATGTCTTCTGGGAACTCAACTATGACTTCTTACCCAACTACTGTTACAATGGCTCCACGAACAGGTGGGTAGGGGTTGCCCCTTAAATTTTTAATTTAAAAGTTATTTATTTAGAAATGATAATAATAATGGTTATTTTTAAAGCCCTGATTGGACAAGGATGCGTTTTAGGACATCTGTAAAAAAAAATTCTGTAGTAAATTGACACATCTGTAAGTGATTGACGTGGCAATTTGTACAGGATCAAAATCACAGAGAATTAATTCTGGTAATTAACACCTTTAATATAATAATAATAATAAAAAAATTATAATATAATAATAAAATATTAAAACAATTATGCACATTCTACTAATCTTTAATGACAGGGTTGTGCAATAATATAATTTACAATGTCATAAATGGACAGCACTTTAACAGCTATATTAGTGTAGACATAACTTTCAGGTTTAAGCTGATGCAATATCTATTTATTCATCCATATTTCAGTTAAACAGATGTGATTGTCATTAAAAGTCAAATTGCATAGAAAATGTCTTTGATCACTTGTCAAAAAGTCAGATGCATGTGACTTTTAAAGGAAGATGGTGCATTGCTTTCATCTTTAATTTTTAGAGAATGGTTAATTAAGTTAATTCATTAGTTATTGATAGTCAGTCTATGCTTAAAGTCTATGATTATTTCAACCAGGAAAAGACTGTTATGTTTCAGATACACAGATTCTCCACATTTGAGAGACATTCTTGTACATAGATTTTTCTTTGCAGTTTTTGAGAAGTGTGTAGAAGTGGAGGCAAATCAGTTACCTTTTTATTTTTTCTCCTGTGAATTGAGTGTTTGTCTACCTTCTGCAGTTGGATAGATCACTCCTTTTTTTTTTTGTCTTTTTTTTTTTTTTACTGTCAAATTACACAAATACAATCTTTTTACTGAGCACAAGCTACAATCTGACCCATATATCAAATATGACTGTAAGTGAGAAAAACAAAGAGAGCTTTGTAAGGAACCATAGTGAGTTGAGAAATATTCCAAAGACTGAATTTTACAGTGTTTAAGATGGGCTGTATAGAACAGGCGTGAAGGTAGGCCATGAAAGAGGCTGAATGTGGCATGAAAAGGTGCCTAAAGTCATCTTTACACTGTCAGGTTAAGATGTGACAAAATGCTTCAACATTTTGTGACCTTTCAGGGAAGATAGACCTATTGATGACAAATTTATCATAAATGTACCCATTTAGTATCAAAGTGAACTAACACCATCAGGGTTCAGCTGTTGTCTCAATACAGCTCATAACTGGTAGGTGGATGCCATCTCTGGAGGTTACATCTCTTTTTCAGGTTCCAAAAACTGAGTCACACTATTGGCTTCAGCCCTGCATTCAAAAGGTCCCAGCTCGCCCCTGAGATGTTTTTTTTTTTTTTTTTGTTCTAATATCAGGCATGCATTATGCATGATCAAACACTGCTGCTTGATTATTCTTTATTTTATTTTATTTTTCTTTATTTATAAACATTTATGTTTAACATCATCTGCTTTATCTCTTCAAGAATTCTGCTGCTTTGACATTTCTGGATATTTATCTTTTGCTTAAAATGTGAATTAGTTTCTTCATAGTAGTTGCCATAGGTCCTTTTTTTTCTTCTTTGCCGTTCAAGCCTTTGGTTTGTTTGAAACCCATTAACTCAATCAATAAATCATCACATTGGACTTAATGCGGATGATTGGTGACCCTGTACGCTACACACACATGCTGTAATTATTTGGCAGTCAGTACCGTATGAAAGCTTGAAAACTAATCATTTTGATCTTCCAGAAGCACACTGTCAATAACGCTTAGAGAGGTCTGAGGAAAACAGGACGTTTATTCTCTCACCCTACACACTTTCCAGTCTTTTTCAAATCCTCACAGCTGCTAAAGATTTTCTTTAGTAGTATTTTCAGACAGTACTTGTCTGAATTTTACCATTGTTTACAGGTGAGCCACACCTTTTTTTCCATCAGAGAGACAGGTGTCTCTGGGAAAAATTAGATTGAGAGGTAAAGGAGCAAAAATCTTACCGTAAAAGATGAGATGAGTCACTTCATCATCATGAGTCACGATGATACACAGATCATCTCGCTGTTGCAGACAGAATCACCCTGAAGCATTCAGAGAGTCAATAATAATATTGTGAATTATTATTATTGCAATTTAAAGTAATGGTTTTCTATATTTATATACTTTAAAGTAATATTTATTCCTGTAATGCAAAGCTGAATTTTCAGCAGCCATTACTCCAGTCTTCAGTGGCACATGATCCTTCAGAAATTATTCTAATATGCTGATTTATCAATGTTGGAAACAGTTGTGATGCTTAAAATGCATTTATTTATTGTATTTTTGAACCTATGATACTTTTTTCAGGATTCTTTGATCAATAAAAAGTGAAAAAAGAACAGCATTTATTTAAAATAGAAATCTTTTGTAACAATATACACTACCAAATGTTCAAATGTCTGGGGTCAATAATTTTTTTTGTTTGAAATTAATACGTTTATTCAGCAAGGATATGTTAAATTGATAAAAAGTGATAGTCAAGACTTATATTGTAAGTAGGGATGCACCGATACCGGGCACGATACTGAGCTCCTGTACTCGTACTCGTTAAAATACGCTGATACCACACAGCATGTGTTAAGTGCCATATTCAGACAATGAAACACCAACAACAGACAGCAGAATGGAGTTAGAGATTAAGGATGTCTACGAAGTATATGTATGCAATGACTATAATGTTGAACATTCAGTATTGACTGTATAGCTTGTGTGTGCGAGCTGATAAACAAAGCCCGTTGAGTGGATTGAGCACGCGGCGGCGCACATGTGCGAGCTTGTCGAGTGAATATACCTTTCTCACAGACATCACTGGAAAGTTTGTAGTTCGGTCGGATACGTCAAAAACAAGTTCGTAAAACAATGCACAAGTTACTTAACGGTAGGGAGGGACAGAGAGAGAGCGCGCAATTCTGTAGTGTGATCTTTGATGTTCACTCAGCACACGCATCATTTGGATTAAAACTAAATCGTAAAATAGACCATTTATAGGGGCATTCACTATAAACATCATTTATTTTTAACCTTAGGCATACACTACTTTCTGGCGAAAGTGAATCTAGCAGCTTGTCTGAAATGCGCTAGGCTGTACTATTCTGCATCAGTACAAATATGTGCACGCGTTGCGCGTGTTTTGCTTGCTTGAGTGTTTCTGCATTATATGAGTGGCTTTGGAAGATAAATCGCAGCATGTTTCAGATGAAAAAAAGCGTGACTTCTATTTCTGAAAATATCAGAGTTAGGATATTTATAACGAGTGGTTCCCTGTATTATTACAGCAAATCGCGTGATTACAGTACTGAGCCGCTGCAATGGAGCAGCTCTAATGCTATTAAATTAAAGATGATGTACCATAGAGCAAAAAATGAACAGTGAAAGTAACAAAAACTTGTAAAATACATTTTAATGGCCATAATTAAGTGTGAAAATAACCAAAGGATATACAGTCAAACCAAAAATTATTCAGAGACCAGATATAATTTTTGATATTTTTTTACTAGTGGGTGCAGGACACATTTATGTAAAGTGAAGATAGCAAAATAAACTAAACTGTGACAAATTATACCCAAAATTTCTTCATACAGTGGACTACCAGTAAAACTGATACAAATTTGGGACCAAAAATGATTCAGACCGAGTCTGGGGGAAAAAAAATTAGTTCAGGTTTGCATGAACCTGGATGACAGCATGCCCAGGAGACTATATGCTGTCATTAAGGCTAAAGGTTACCTGACTAAGTATTGATAGTTGTGTAAATACTGTCATGCTAACAGCTGTCTACGTTTTGGTTGATTGTAATCCATTACATACCTTTCTATCAAAGTTATCTAACATTATCAAGCTGAATTTGTTCTGACACAGTTTAACTCTGAGTTCTTGTTATATTTTATTACCATTTTCTAAACTATAACCAATAAACTGTGATAATGTGAGAAATGTTGAAGGTGTCTGAATAAATTTTGGTTTGACTGTAAGACAGTACAGATTGTTTTCTTTGTAATGAACTAATGTAAGAGACTTTATTATTTACTTTCATTACATGTACACATGACTAAGTGACAAACAAATCAAACTCTGCCTCAACATGAAATCTTGAGTTTTGTTCCAGGCATTCCATAACTTGCTCTCTTTTCTTTTTCATGATGATTCAGGCCTTGAATTTGGCATACAGTAGCGTATACAGCCTCTACCGGAACTTCCTGGGACCTCCACATATTAAGGCTATTTGCAGACTTCTAGGATACCAGGGCATCGCTGTGGTGATGGAAGAGCTGTTAAAGGTCGTCAAAAGCCTGGTACGTGCATAAGCATGCAAATTGAAGTTTGGGTTTAGAGATCTGGGTGCTTTTGCAAGACCCTGGACAAAACCTTTTTTTTTTTAAATCATCGGCTCTCAAACATGTTAGAAGAAATGCATGGTGTATTTAATATTCATGTTCAGCCACATTCCTACTAGAACTTCTCAAATTGATGCCTTAATTCAAATAGTGGAGGAATGTGCTAGCAACACCAAAGTCATGGGTTTGGTTCCCTGGTATGCATGCACTAAAATGGTCTATTCCAAATTTCTGATTTCATGATGCATCAGATCATTTATAAGGATCTTAACTGAATCAGATCATTGTTGGAGCAATTTTTTTATACCACTAATCTAACTTTAAAGGATAAAGAATAAAAGATAAAGTTCTGGAAGTGTGGGCATTAGCAACATTTCTGCTGAAATTGTCATATTGTTTTTTTTTTTCTGGTGCAGCTTCAGGGCACCATTCTGCAGTATGTGAAGACCCTGATGGAAGTGATGCCCAAGATATGCCGTCTGCCTCGCCATGAGTACGGCTCGCCAGGTGAAAATTGCATTCTTTGGACACTCTTAATTAAGCAAGCCTTTTATTTTCTGACCCAAGAGAGACACTTTGACCCTGTGTTAAATATGAGCTCCCACTATCACCAAATAGAAGATAAGCACTTAATCATTAAGCTTTCAAAAATCCAACTGTGCTGCTGCTGGGCAGATTGGCTGTCTGCAGTGTGTCAATCACACAGTGGTGCTTTTAGTAGAGCTTATGCAGCAGACACTGGGTGTCTTAGACTTAATCAGACCCCTCTAGACATGAGAAGGTTTGGTAACTGCCTCTTTTTCCCTTTCCTTGTTTGTTATTTCTTTCTGGGGGACTATACTGAGAAGGTGCGCTCCACACTGAAATCATGACTTTGTCTGATTATGTGGGCTTCAGACAGCCTGGACAAAAAGAAATGAAAGGAAAAATTAAATGAATTGGGTGGAGGAGAGAGAAAGGCAGAGGGTAGAAAAACTGCTTGTAAGAGCATTACTTATTTTTGGATTCTTGGACGTAACAGGAATAACAAAAGAGAGTGCACTTGAGAACAGTCAGCAACTGTAGATTCCAACTGTTATTCAGAAATTTTAAAGACTCCGTATATAAGATATAACTACAAAATGTGTGTATACATGCATGAGGGTGTCTTGTTTTCCAATTCAAATCTAAAGACCCTTAATACAAAAAAATGAAGTGAGTTTATGCTTAAAGCAAGAATGAATGTCAGTGGGTTATGAAAACTTGTTTTCCCTTTAATTAAGTAGATTTTTCTGAGACCATTGGCAGATATTTGTCCTTGTTTGAATCATAAACTCTCTTGATTTAGATAAACTTCTCATCTTGTCATTTTGCTTCTCAAATTAATGTATCTTTATTTAAGAATCTAGACATTTGCACTGGAAAACAAGACAATTATTGAGGAAGATGACAACTTTTTTTGCAGTGTGATCAGAAGGATCAGAGTACATATTGATGTTCCCTTGAATTTATTCCTTAAATTTCTTTACCTGATCTTAAAGAGGTCTTAAAATCTTAAATTGACCTACATAAAACCTGCAGAAACCCTCCGCTGGTCAAGTCAAGGTTAGTTTTAGGACCTGGAACAATATTACTATCAAATAGTTAATTGTTAAGGGATGCTGATCCAGGAAAAGGATCTGTTCATGTGAATCACTGTGCACTGTGCATATAGAGGAATATTTATACATCAATATTTCCTAAAACAACCAAAATGAGGCTGTCATTACAGTGAAAGTATGATTTTTGTCTCCCGGATGCAGGTATTCTGGAGTTCTTCCACCACCAGTTGAAGGACATTGTGGAGTATGCTGAGCTGAAGACCGTGTGCTTCCAGAGCCTGAGGGAAGTTGGAAATGCTTTGCTCTTCTGCCTTCTGAGTGAACAGAGCTTGGTATGACCACTGAGCATTCACACTATACTGCAGAAAGTTGTTCTCACTGCATCACTAAACCTTAGCTACTGTTGCCACCTGCTATAATCTTTTCTTTAAAGAAGAAATTCCAGCTCATGTAACAATATCCAATCTTTTTATTATCACTTTCAGTACTTAAACTAAGCAGAGGGTAAATGCCATCACCAAACAGATCATCTTCAGTAGATTAATAATGCGGTTTTGAAATATTTTTCTTAGAGTGAAGAATGTGCTAGTGAGTTAAGGTTTTACTAATTAACTTGGCACCTTTCATATTCTCTTTTTTGTGCTGTGACAAGTGACACACAAGATGCATAACTACACTAAAGTCTTCAATCATGAATTAATCTATTCGTGTTTAAACTTTTTATGAATTATTCACGACTCCATGACAGGACAGAGATATATATATATGTATATATATATGTATATGTATATATGTATATATATATGTGTGTATATATATATATATGTATATACAGTGGGTACGGAAAGTATTCAGACCCCCTTAAATTTTTCACTCTTTGTTATATTGCAGCCAT